CCAGCCTCTGGCCCGCTGAAGAACCTTGTCACTCCTCCTGAGGGAACCCAACCCACACATCCACGAGGAGCCGGAGCCTTCGAGTGAGAGTGTGACGCCGCATCGCACATCCACGATATCCACTCAACCGGCACTGACGTTGTGTGCCTGGCTACTCCGTACGTTGCTGGAGGTCGGAGCGGGACCTCGACAAGAGCCTCAAAGTGGAGAGAGAGCAGAATTGCCGTGCCGTGTGTGTGTGTGCAATACAAAGACAAGTCTCCATCTAGGCCCCATGCCCTCCGCCATGGAGACATGGCGAACCCACGGGAGAGGAAAGCATATGTTCGAACCCACGCCCGTGGGATATAATTCAATCCCTCCCCCCCCTTCGCCTCCCCGAGATATTTCCATGAACCTCTGCAATGTGTGATTCGGGCTCACCTGCCTTGTCCGCCAGAAGGAAAATCAGCCCAGGCCTCGCGCTATTTGTCGGACAAATGCCGAACAAGGCCACGCAAGTCCATGTACCTTCACGCCGACATGGACAGGCAGGACGGACATGATCAAACAACGTCCAACCCAACCCCAACCCCAACCCCCCATCTTTCGCGTCGGATCCGTCTCCAGCACTCAGAATCGTACCTGGGCTTATTGTGGCCAATGAGCAGCCTCACCAGCGCACAGACAAACGTGATTCCAACCCGCATGGCATCGTCGACGAGTCATTATTGCTCAATCCGGATGGTTCTTGGGATTCCAAACACGGAAACGAGTGTCATGTGCTTGTTGTCCAACACCTTCCTCTACGAGCACGATGAGAGAGGCGTGAAATGAATGTCACTCGTCTCGCGCGGGATTTCGGAGTTGGTTTCACCCCAGCCCGGGACATACGTAGTACCTAATACCAAAGGTACACTAGGCACACACGCCTCGACACGAGTCTCTCCCTCCCTCCAAAGTCCAGCCATCCCGTCCATATGGCCGGCCGCATTGATGTGATAGAGAAATGTATCGATACCATGGCGACCTGATCAGGTACCTATGGGCCAGCGTGTTTGTCTGTGTTGTTGTTATTGTTATGATCCCTAGCCGCCGAATCAATTGAGCCACCGCCATCTCCATGGCACAGAGCAAGAATGATCGCCTCTGGCTCTGGCTCTGGGCAATGATTCACTCTGCTGCATGTGGAGCATCGCACCGTTGATCTTCAATCTCTTGGACCGTGTGCCTAGCTGGGTACGTAGCCACTTCTCTCGGTGCAGCTCTCTCCCACTCTCCAGCTCGCCCATCTGGGACCGCAATGCTTTTTCCTACGGAGTAATCCGTGTAGGGGACTAAGGGAATGTCATGGTCAGTTCCCAAGACGTCACCGCCAGGACCCTCGCTCGTTGATAAGACCGAGAGCGCAGGGGTGTGAAGCTCTAGCGCAACCTTCTGCACCACCCATGCAGTGCTACCAGATGGCGCCGGCGCGCCCCCTTCATTTGCATTGCGCTAAGGCTAGCAATGTACAGCCACCCATGGCAAAATCGAGCATGTAGAGGGAAGTACCAGTAACGGACGAACGGATTTACGGATGCCAGTTTTGAGGCCAGAGGAGCGACCGCGCGAGTCAACTCAACTTTTCAGCGGGTCAAAGCAAGAGGTTGGGGGTTTTTTTTTTGTTTTTTTTGTACAGCCACGTGGGAGTGGCTCTCGACACAAGCCAAAGTGCCCTCTTGTTGGCTGACTCCCTGGAAGCGCCCTAGTTGTATCAAGTGGCTGTCGCGTCTTCTGCAGGTGGTAACCGTGGTTGAGCATATCGTGATGATTGGCATTGAGGATTAAAGATCATTTCCTGATGTGATAAATTCTCTCATACAAGCGCGCCCTTCTCGGCGAAATGCCCCCTTGGCTGCTGCTGCATCACGTAATCTCGTTGGTCGTGTGAACCAGCCAGCCATCCAAGCTGGCCACGCCATACGTAGCACGTAGCATGTACATACGTGTGAAGGGAAATCATTCGCTGGTGCGCGCTTTGTCAGGCAACTGCATGCACCGCCATGTAGGGAACCTGTGCCTATGTTTGCCGGTGTACATGTACCTTGACTGGGATGTGCAGCAAGCTGCTTTCAATACCAAAGCAACGTGCCGCCTGGGAGGTCTCCGCTGCCCAGCGGTTCGCACGGCCAACTATTCTTAGGCTCCGATGGCTCCATGATGTCTATTTGGTGGCAACCGTGGAGGTCTCGGTTGGCCACCTGCCAGAGCCCAGACCAACAAGCAGGCAGATCTATATGGGTTGGTCATGCTCCTGCCTGTCAATAAGAGAGAATGCCATCTGATGGAGCTTTAATGGAGTTCCGATGGGACCATCACCATCTGGTATCCGCCTCGGATCTCGGGTCGACCTTTCGGTTTGTGTATTAGCTGTACGGGTCCGCGTTTGTCTTGTGGTGTATTCAGGAGATATATGCTGTCCCCGGTGTCCACAACCCAAGAACTTTGTGGGGTGCTTGGACTTCAGATGGTCGAAATGCGGGTATGAGAAGTGTTCTAGATGCTTTGGTCGAATCCTCCTATAAGTTTGGGCTCTCCAGTCGCATAGTTTAGAGTTGTCCGTAGCTGCCATGCGGTCGGATGATGCTATGTTCCGCTTGTGAGCCTTGCTTGCCTGTCCCAACACCTTTTACGCCTTTGGCCAGCTTCGCACTGATGTGATTTGCAACCCCATTATCACCGCTATAGCCAATATCGAACAGTTCACATGTACATAGGGACGTATCATTCGGACCCCAAAGTCATGTGCTTGGTCATAAATTGTAATTGCAGGACTGTCCTTCGCCTCTCAGCTTGCGTGTTTGTACTTGATACATCGGATCTTGACCGGTTGGATGATGGATAACTCACGTCACTTTCTTGCCGGACCTTGAAGTGTCACATCGAAGCTGGTGCGTTACATCCTGTGTCCCGATGGGGTCTTCTCTGGTCAAGATTTTGCCGTGCAGTGGCGTTAATATGTTCTTGCCGCCCGACGGGTGATAAGACAAGTCTGGAGTATCTCCCATGTAGATGATGGTCACCAACATCCATACACCGCCAATGATGCCGAATGGAAACCTGTCATCACACCACAATTGCAATTGCATAGTCATTATGCATTACCCGACAAATCATCAAGCAGCCCGAGGAAACCCTCTCCCGGAACATTAGCCAATCGACGTCCACCCAGGAAGCAAACACCAATACCGTTGACCCGAGAATAGAGGTGTAGGGTAGTGAATGGAGAATTTGTGCACGTGACCTATAGTAAACCGAGTCGAGCTGGGGCTGTCAGAAATACAGTCATTTGATTGGATAGAAATTATCTGGCAGTCATGCTTTTCATGGCAAGTTAAGATTTCAGCACCAGCAGTCTTGAAGATTGAGATTGAGATCACAGGATCACCATTTGAAATCCAATGGCAACTCCTGTGGCTTTACGATCCTATTATGGGCGGTTAGCCCAGGCGAAGCCTCTTTCTGGTGGCCTGGGGGCTGGCCAAACCGCCGCACGGGCAGCACCATTCTCGACAACGGCACCACTGTGCCAGCGCAAGCGATCAGCAACCAAGGACGGCAACAAGAAGCGAGGTGTCAGTACAATCTACAGGTCAGGCCCGCGGGAGCCTCTGTCCATGTCAGGCATCCCACTACCCAAACCTCGCCAATTCGAGCCCAAGATCAAGGTCGATGAGAAGCATGGGCTGTGGGAGTTCTTCCCAGCGCCCGGCAAGCTTCTCTGGACGCCTTCAGAGACGGAAGAGCATGGCCGACCGTGGACAGTCGAAGAGCTCAGAAAGAAGTCATGGGAGGACCTGCACTCTCTGTGGTGGGTTTGCTGCAAAGAGAGGAATAGACTGGCAACATCGATGGTCGAGTTGGACAGAAGCAAGCTTGGATTCGGCAACCGAGAACTCGAACTACGTGACCAAACGGTATGAAGACCATCCCTTGGACAAGAAAAAAGTGCGTGTCGGCTGATATAGCGGTTTTAGGTCAAGAATACGATGAAGGCGATCAAGTTTGCGCTGACAGAACGGTTCTACACTTGGGAAGATGCGACGGCTGTTGCAAGAAGTGACCCGGAGATCAACCTCGAAGGCGGCGAAGGTGAAGCTTACAACCCAGAGGCTTATGAGGAGGATGTTGATGAAGTCAAGGGTTGGGCGACGGAGGATGCAACTAAGTCTGCCGACGCATCAGAGGTGGATGGGAACATCACCAAATCCGAGAGTCGACCTGCTCCCCAAGCCTCGTAGGGCAATGCCACACCCGATGACTTGCTTAAATACATGGCTTGAAGATGTCTCCTTGGAGAGAGTGCATTAATGGCCAACCATGCCGCTCGTGTTGCACGAGAAAGACTTCAACTAGGGCCCGCCGATCGAGGGCGTGTACAAACACCTTGTAATATAATCGATTATGCAGAGCAGATGTTTGTATAGATAATCGGGATATGAACGGAGAGGAATATAGAAAATTCCATGCACTGTGGTCTCCCTTAGCAAAGCCATAGATGGTGATGGGTTGTTGCTACGCCTCAGCCTGTTTGCACCTTGTGCCCCTTGAAACCATCCCAATGCTTCAAGTACTTGCGACCTGCCATATTGTCTTTTAACTTCCAGGAGTCGGGCGTTTGAACTCAACCGCGAACCCATTATTTACCACTGCATGAAAGATAATAGCCTCCCAAAAGCCAAAGCCTAGTCACCCGGGCTTGCCTGCTCTTCCTCACCGATCATTGTAGGGTACTAGCCTCCACACCCCCCAACCAATTGAAGTTCCACCCAAAACTGGCGGCGCTCAAAGAAGTCTGTAGTATGATAATAATACCCCGCCTTCCGCCCAATCCCAACCACGTCTACTGATAGTTTACTGAACCCTGCTACCCATTCTAGCTCTTGCATAGCTGTCATCGACTCTCCCCCTCTTGAGTTCCTGTTCGACCTGCCCCCTTGATCTTTAATACCAATACCTATCGAAAGCGGGCATTCACCATGGAGGAAATCGCAAAGAAGTACGATGTCATTGTGCTCGGCACTGGTAAGCTCAGCCGCCTGGAAGTATCCACACCCGCGGGGCAGCTTTGGGGTGTCAGGATCGGTGTGACGACTGGACTTTGCTAATTCGCCGTCCCTAGGCCTGACCGAGTGCATTCTGTCAGGGTGAGAAAGCTGAAGAACAAGAGTTTATCGTCTGCGCCGTCAACTAACTTCTCTTTGCGCCTCCCAGTGTCCTGAGTGTCAAGGGCAAGAAGGTCCTGCACATTGACCGCAACGACCACTACGGAGGGTTCGTATCTACCTATGAGGCCACTTCTCACGCATTGAGCTTTGCTAATTGATCTTTTCTAACAGTGAGGCTGCTTCCGTGAACCTCGAAACGGTAATACACCCCGGCCCGATTTACAATAATTCGATCCTTCTCCTTCTCGCCCTACCCCTGAGTAAACGGACTCTGACAGTTGTGACGATAGCTCTTCAGGAAATATGGCAACTTCAACAAAGGCGAGGAGCCATGGAAGAAGTACGGGCGACTGAACGACTGGAACATCGACCTTGTTCCCAAGTTCCTTATGTCTTCAGGCGAGCTCACCAACATTCTGGTGTCCACCGATGTTACCCGTTATCTCGAATTTAAGCAGGTTGCTGGTAGCTACGTCCAGCAGGGTGCCAGCAACAAGGCCACCGTTGCCAAAGTCCCTTCGGACGCTGGCGAGGCTCTTAAGTCCCCTCTTATGGGTATCTTCGAGAAGCGCCGCATGAAGTCTTTCATCGAGTGGGTTGGAAACTTCAACATCAACGACCCCGCCACTCACAAGGGTAAGTGATCTGCGGGGTTACACATTGGACTGTTTTCAGAAAGAAGAAACCGGGCTGCGATTAAGGTGTCTGTATTGACGATTCTTTGTAGGACTGGATATCCACAACTCCACCATGAAGGATGTGTACGACAAGTTCGGCCTCGAGGCTGGCACCAAAGACTTTATCGGCCACGCCATGGCTCTGTACCTCTCTGACGAGTATATCACCGCTAAGGGCAAGGCACCCGAGGCGATTGAGAGAATTCGCCTGTACGGAAACTCCGTGGCTCGCTATGGCAAGTCCCCTTACATCTACCCTCTCTACGGCTTGGGAGAGTTGCCTCAGGGATTCGCCCGTCTATCTGCTATCTACGGAGGCACTTACATGCTCAACACCAACGTTGACGAGGTTATTTACGAGGGCGGCAAGGCAGCTGGTATCAAGGCCACCATGACCGGAGTTGAGGAGTTCAAGTTCGAGACGAGCGCCGACCTGATCCTGGCCGACCCCTCCTACTTCCCCGACAAGGCCCAGATCGTTGGACACGTCCTTCGTGCCATCTGCATTCTCAAGCACCCTCTGGCCGGCACCAACGACAGTGACTCTGCCCAGCTCATTATTCCCCAATCTCAGGTCGGCCGAAAGAATGGTATGCTAGAGCTTCCCCCCCTTTGCTTTGCCCACTTGGGTTCTGGCTGACAAGATTTATCTAGACATCTACATTGCTACTGTTTCTTCCGCCCACAACGTCTGCCCCAAGGGCTACTGGATTGCCATTGTCTCGACCATTGCCGAGACATCTGCCAACCACCACCTTGGGCTCCAGCCCGGTCTTGACCGCCTGGGCGCAATTGAGGAGCAGTTCTTGGTATGAGGCCCTTTCCCTGCACCCTGAAAATGAAACATTTGAATATTCTTTATCTGACTGACATCACCTAGGGCGCACCCATCCCCATCTACTCACCTCTCGGATCAGGCAAGGACGACAACATCTTCCTCTCAAAGAGCTACGATGCCACCAGCCACTTTGAGACCACAACGGACGATGTCAAGGATATCTTCCAGCGCGCCACCGGCGAGGAGCTGAAGGTTGAGGGCCTGAGAGAGGGTATCACCGTGGCCGAGGAGTAAGAAACTGTTTCTGATGATTAAATGAGGAGATGAAGGTCAAGAAGACCATACGCTGAGCTGTGCTTTGACATTCCGGTATCATTTAAACAGGCATATATTCCTCATACCCCCTAGAGATGCTTCATTGCTCTTTCTGGGGTGACCTCGGGGTAGTTTTTTTCTTTTTTTTCGCATTTGTAGTCGAGACCGCAGAAACATGATACTCTCTTCATAATTCTGTACATGGTGTGTAATGTCTGAACATAAGGCACATATAACGACGGATTTGTTTGTTGTCATAATAATCATGAAGAATCTTTATTGAAAAGGAAAATTTTTTAGCATGTGAAAAACTTGCCCTCCTACAAACAAACTGTATCCCATAGCATATATATATATATAATCCCCGAGTGCCTGTACGCCAGATTTTGTCCCGATGCCGCGCATTTTTTTTCAATTAGGAACCTAACAACAAGAAACGGAAGCAAATGCCAAGACATATCGGCAATATAAAGGCCTCTGTTCTCTACCTCCGGTTAGTCTTGCCCATGCCACGCTTGCCAGAAACCTGTGATGCTCTGTTAGTATATGACCGATTTGAGAAGACGTCTTGGGAAAACTTACCAAATGCTTATCCAGAGATGCGGCTGTGTGTCTGTCGGCCTCACCCTGGCGAGCCATTCTGTTCATCTTCTTCTGGTGCAATTTGGCGAGACGCTCGGCCTTGGACCTGGTGGACTCATCCTGTACACCGTCATCTCTGCGGTTGGTGGTGGGTGCTCGGCTCTTTGGTCGGCTCTTGGAGCGGAGGCGTTCCCGAGGGGTGCTGTCGACGTCCATCGCGTCAGCGTCCTCGGTGCCAGCGCGGCTTCGAGTCATTGAGCGGCCACGGGGGCGGGACTTGGATCGAGCCCTCTCCATGATATCTGTGGTATCCACACCGCGGCGGTCGAGGGCGTCGTCAAGCTCTGACAACTTCTTCTTCTGCAGCTTGCGAGGGATGATGGCCTGGTTCTTGAGTCTCTTCCTCATCTTCGCTTCGTTTCTGGTGAGGGCAATTTGCTCCTCAATCTGCTCGGCCTTGGCTAGGATCTCGGCAGCTTCCTCATCATCGATATCCTCATCGGATTCGTAGAAGCCTTCTTGCTCGAGTCTCTCCTCTTCCTCTTCCAGGGCAGCCAGCTTGGCCTCGATATCGGGATCAATGAAATCATATACATTCTTGCCATCGAAGATTTCGGGGATGGCATCGTACTTCCAATCTGGGTTCTCCAGCATCCAGTCGGCGCGCATATCGACGTTGTAAACACCAGCACCGCCGTTCTCCTCTTCCGCATCCTTGGCAAGCTTGCGTCGCTCAGGATCGTTCTTGTCATACTTCTTCCTGTTCTTGACAACCTCAGGAATAAACGACTCCAGAGATTGGCCTCCCATGGGTGTGGCAACGTGGATACGAGACATAACATCCGCAAGACGTCCTCCGACCTCGCCACTGTTGTTCGTACCGGCCTTGAGTTTCTGGTTGACACGCTCAGCAATGAGACGTTCGCAGGCTGCGTTCTTGACTTCCTGGACACCTTCTTGGGTGTTGCAAGAGAGCTGGAGCATTTCGACCTCATTAGACTTCAGCAGGCCCTGAAGCTCTTCTTGGGTCTCAGCGTCCAGATCCTCTGGCTTGGTTACGTCAATTTTGTTGACGACAATGAAAACGAGCTTGTTGGAAAAGAGAGGCTTGATGCTTCGAAACAATTGAATCTGATCCTTGACAGAGTAGCCGCACTGCTCAGAAAGATCCATGAAGTACATAATGGCAGATCTTAAATGCGCGATGGCAGTGATACTAGATTAGTGTTAGTTATTGCCCGCAATCTCTATTGACACAGTCGGGAAAGCCTACCTCTGCATCTCGATGGTGTTCATCTCCTCCAGAGGATGATCCAAAATACCGGGAGTATCAATCGCCTGGAATCGCAGATACTTGTAGTCGAAGTGACCAACGAACAGACTCTTGGTTGTGAAAGCATAGGGCTGCACGTCGACATCGGCCCGAGTAATGCTGCGGAGGAAACTGGATTTTCCGACATTGGGATAACCGCAGATCAGAAGAGTACGAGTGTTGGGGTCGATCGATGGGAGACGGCCCAAATGTTGTCGGACCTGATCAAGATACAGGAGGGGGTCCTTGAGGCGCTTGATAAGGGTAGCCATGCGACCCAGAGCAGCCTTTTTCAATTGCTTGCACTGGAATAGCGACTGGGCATATTTGAGAAGTCGCACATAATCGCGGGAGATCGTCTCAACCAGATGCTTGGCGGTCGACAGCTGACCAAGGGCAATCTTGAAGTGGTCGGCATCGTAGAGCGTGTTGAGGAGATCCTTGTGGAACGGATGGATGTCCTGGAGGCGAGGGAAACTGTCCAAAATGGCGCCGAATTTCTCGGAAAAAGTCTCCTGAGTGAATTTGACCTTTCTCGTATAAAAAGCTACCCATGGATTAGTGGATGGAGGAGTTGCAAGAGGGTTATGGAATACTCACCTCGGATTCTGCTAATCTTGAAACCCGCACGAATTTGCGTAGGGAGTTTGCGCTGAGTCCGGCTCAGTACAATGTCGAGAAATTCCTGCTGAGTAGGCACCGGAGGGATGTCCTTCCAAGTAGTCTTCATGATGGGCGAAAATCTGGCAGGTTTGATCCTGGAGACAACGGCGTAATATCAAAAAGTCTGGAGGATTGCAAAGTCCTACAACAGATGCGGGCAGCGATTGGAAGGCGGTCAATTTTTTTTTTGTCAAAGGGTGGGCGGGTCACCGAACGGGTCTTATCGATAAGATAGAAAATCTTGAAGGTTTTTGGTGGATGTACTTGCCGGCAGAATTTTGCGGGTAGGTACGCCCACTCTGATCGCCCCGCGAGACCCCGCCAATGGGGCCTTCTACGATGCAGTCTCTGCTCACCAGAGATGTTTTCTTGCTTTCATATGAATCGCTTGTAAAGGCTGAAAGAGAAATCTCCTAGTAAACCAAAGTTGGAGGTTACCGAACCAAAGCCTCGACTACTTATATTCTGAAAAACTGTCCTATTTACTACGTCCTACACCATCTGGCATAATGGGTGCTCAACTTCCCGCTTACAAGCAAAAATTCCTCGAGGCATCTATCTCTGGAGGTGTTCTTAAATTCGGAAGTTTCGAGCTCAAATCGAAGCGCATTTCACCTTACTTCTTCAATGCTGGCCTGTTCCACACCGCACGCCTTGCAGCGGCAATTTCTGACGCCTTTGCTCATACCATCATTGAGGCTCAAAAGCAAAATGGGCTGGACTTCGACATTGTCTTCGGACCCGCATATAAGGGAATACCTCTAAGCTCATCAGTTACTGTGAAGCTGGGAGAGCTGGAATCCAAGAACTTGGATTCCATCTCTTACTCCTTCGACCGCAAGGAGGCCAAGGACCATGGAGAGGGAGGGAACATTGTCGGTGCCCCATTGAAGGGCAAGAAAGTACTTATCATCGACGATGTGATCACTGCCGGCACGGCGAAGAGAGAGGCGATTGAGAAGATCAGGAAAGAGGGCGGAATCGTGGCTGGTATTGTGGTCGCCGTGGACCGAATGGAAAAGCTCCCAGCTGCCGATGGGGACGAATCAAAGCCTGGGCCAAGCGCAATTGGCGAACTCAGGAAGGAATACAACATTCCTATCTTCGCTATCCTAACATTGGATGACATCGTCGAGGGTATGAAAACCTTTGCGTCGGAAGAGGACATTAAGCGCACCGAAGCTTATCGTGCCAAGTACAAGGCCACCGAGTAGGTAGGATGCTGTGGTAGCAATGGCATCACGAAAGCGTAGGTAGATGTATCTCACCTACATATACATATGATGCTTGCCAATATTCTCTCAGCCGTAATGATGCAGAATGCTACGCTGAAATATGTACAAGGATTTGACACACCAGGGCCAGGTTAGAAATCTTGGAGCTACTTGTGTCAGGAAAATGCTGGCGATACTGTCACCTCTTTAAGCAAGTCGCCCATTTTGGTCAGCGGTAAGATGGGGACATTAATCACAAACCGTTCTTGGGAGAGTTGTATTCATTACTGATTGGATTGAAACGGTACGAGAGCAGACCCTGAAGTGCAAGTCCGGGCGACCGGGCTGAGAAGGAGGGTAGGGTCAAGTAGCGATAGGATGGACCCGTGAGCTCGAGGGTCCAGGAGGTGTGTGATAGTGAGCGGCTGGTTACTCTGTGTTACACGTATCACTGTCTCGCCTAGCTATTTCTTCCGATTGGTAACCAGGGTATGCATAACGGCGAAATCAAGAACGGGAATTAGGTAGGTTGGGGTAGTAGGGTTGATGCTGGCGCACGTGCATAAACTGGGGACGAAGGAGGACTATTCGATGTTGAACTCTGCCAGGGCCTAAGCGAGCATTCTGACCATGTCAAATGCGTCTTTCTTTGCAGATTGAACCCTCGTCCCTCGTTGTGATAGGCAATCAGCTTGTGATATAAGCGCCGATAGGGGGTTAAAACGCTCAAACGCCATGCCTCCATCCGAAGACGGCCGTGTGCAATTATATGATGTGACGCCACGGTTCCCTCATCCACAGTGTGATTTTCGTATCATCTTGCACTTCGTTGGGCTCCCGGGGGCCGAGCCTCGTCTCGGGTGGGGAGTTCATGACGACATGAAATTCAGCATGAGGAAGGGGTGGTGGGTAGGTACCTGGTTGAGATTGTTTTTTAACCTACAGGCTCGCAATTGAATTGCCATTCTTACTCCAAGAGACCGCGGTGTCATGCACCCTGGCTTGGCAAATTGGATCGATGAGGTGTCTCTGATTCTTCCATCTGCGGATGGCTGCAGGGTGATCGTATGAGCCTTGAACAGCTTGAACTCTTGATTTCAATGCCCCACGGCGCTGCATCATTACATAGCACGTACATGCCTATGACAGTGTCATCGGGAGCATTGTCGAGCAGCCAATGAAATCCATAAGCGACAGGTGAGAGTAAT